AGCTCAACAGTACAACTTTGTTGGCGGAACTGATCAAGGGGTTGATTATCATCAGAATATTCATTTTTCCTACACGTTTCCACCACAGTACTCGAAATGACATAAATGAACTCAATTTTTCTCCAATGTATTTGATGCACTTTTTATTTTTACATCGAGTCATATGAAACTAAATAACAAAACTGCATATATTAACTAAAATATATAGATATTTGAAAACCAGAAAAAATTTACTACCTTTCATATCAAATACATTTTTCACTTGACGTTTATCAGACGATAATTACTTGATTAATCATTCAGTCAAGCCAACTTAAACTTTAGAAGTTAACAAAAGAGTTCATTCTAGAAGTTTTGAAAGAGGTCATCATCCCAGAAGCAAATTCAAAGTAGAACCCTTTCAGAGCACCTAAGATCAACCCTTGTTTTGTCTTAAAGCGGTTAGTGCTGCTCTTGCTTTAGTTACAAGTGTTGTTCTTTGTGCTTTTTAATTTTTCAATGTTTGGGGTGTTTATTTCGGTAACAGTCTAGTCTATCCATTGTCATGAAATCCATGTTTCAATTTCAAAATTTTACAATAGGTCAAGTTTTAGGGTCAGAAAGTTTACATGACCCATGGTCTAGAATTTGGGGATGACTAACGGCGTGAATCATATGTGGATACTAAAAAATTTCAAAGATCTTTTAGAGTACATACAATCTAAGACTCTCTCATCTTGCAAAAGTATTAAAACATTTGACTTTTTTACCCTTTACATAAGTATTCCCCATTCCAAACTAAAAGACAAATTGAAAGAGTTGGTATTACTTTGTTTCATTAAAAAGAATGGCTAACGTAGATACAAGTATCTTGTCTTGGGGAGGGATAAATCTTACTTTGTAAAGAATCACTCTGATTCAAACAAACAATTCTCTGAAACTGACATTATCAAGATGCTTGATGTCTTGATTGACAACATATTTGTTACGTGTTTGGAGGACACGTTTTTCAACAGACTGTCGGAATTCAAATGGGAACCAATTGTGCCCCTCTTCTTGCCGACTTGTTTCTTTATTATTATGAGGCTGACTTCATAAAGGAACTACTTAGGAAGAAAGATAAAATGTTAGCAGTATCCTGTAACTTTACGTTCCGCTATAAAGATGATGTTCTCTCACTAAATAGTACAAATTTGGTGACTATGTTGAATGAATCTATCCCATCGAACTAGAGATAAAGAATACTACAGATACAGTTAAGTCTGTCTCATATCTTGACTTACATCTACAAATTGAAAATGAGGGTCGGTTGAAAACAAAACTTTACGACAAAAGAGATGATTTCAGCTTCCCAATTGTGAACTTTCCTTTTCTATATAGCAACATTCGAGCAGCGCCTGCATACGGAGTATATATCTCCCAATTGATACGATATTCCCGGGCTTGTATTTCCTATCATGATTTCCTTGATAGAGGGTTGCTGCTCACAAGGAAGCTATTAAACCAAGAGTTCCAAATGGTGAAGTTGAAATCATCCCTTCGTAAATTTTATGGACGCCATCACGAGTTGGCTGACCGTTATGGAATAACCGTTTCACAGATGATATCGGATATGTTCCTTATGTCGTAACTACAATGACCTCCCCTTTTCACGAATGTGAACTACCGAATTAGACTATTTACCGGATTTGTAATAACATAAGCATACGACGGGTGCCACATGTGGAGCAGAATCTGCTTACCCTTCCGGAGCACCTTAGATCACCCCCAGTTTTTGGTGGGGTTCGTGTTGCTTAGTCTTTAGTTTTCTATGTTGTGTCATCTGTACTTTTATTTGTCTGTGTGTCTTTTTATTTTTGGCCATGGCGTTGTCAGTTTGTTTTCGATCTATGAGTTTGACTGTCCCTCTGGTATCTTTCGTCCCTCTTTTAGAAAAGAGTCAATTGTCAATCCACTACTGCGTGATGTCTAATCACTTGATACAACTTATCAACTTATTTCATAGGAGTAAAACGATGGGTGTAACATGTGGGGCAGAATTTGCAAACCCCACTTTTTGGTGAAATGCGTGTTGCTCAGTCTTTACTATGTTTTGTTTTGTGTACTGTGGTTTGTCTTTTGGACTTTTTCTCTTTTTGCCATGGCGTTGTTATTTAATTTTTGACTTATGAGTTTGAATGTCCCTTTGTTATCTTTTGCTCCTCATATAGAAGCTAAATTATAAAAAGGAAACAAGATTACTATTACTATAGTTAAGGGTTAAATGAGGTAAATCATTGTCATTTATTGTATAAAAATATGTAGTTAAACAAAGTGTTTTATCAATTTTTTTAATTTCTAACTATCTGATAGTATATGTAAGAAAAAAATGTATATGTAAGAAAAGTTCACAAATCTTAATTGTAAACATTTGATTCGTCTGCAGTCTCCATCATGCAAGCTTAATCATAAGAAATGAATATAATAGTTGATCAATGAAGACCTTTCAGCATCTGTCATGGTACAGACCAGGATTAAAAGTGCTGTTCTTTTGATAAATTTGCTATTTCCTTGCATTTCATGATATTTTTTAATAACAGGCGCATCCACTTTATATCCTTTAATTTCCATTAAAACAAGTTAACCCAAATATCTTACATCCATGGAAAACTGGAAGGAAGATCCTTAGTTCACGCAAAGAGTCAAGGGTCACGTGAAATTGAATAGAATGGTAGAACGTCTGATTTAGAAGTATGTACTAATTTAATGGGTGACACTAGTGGATATTTTTACTCTATTGGAGCATCTGAGATCACCCCGGTTATTTGGTTGGCCTTGTTGCTCAGTGTTATTCCTTTGTAGATTGTTGTTTGTTTATTCGACGTGTCAACAGTACCTGAATGATATTCATTCTGGTAGCACGTGTTGCACTAAGAAATTGATCCTGCATTTATATTTCTATCACTATGAGTGTACCAGCAAATATGGGACATCCAATCCATAACCGGCATTTCGTTACCGACATAATTCAAATAATAGTATATTTATTTTGTCTACAGATTTGTATTCCTTTGACACTCTAAAATTCTGGCTCCTGTGTTTCCTCTTAAAGAAAGGTTTTGAACGCAGAAAATAAGATACTTTTCAATTTGTTTTTGTCTCGCCTGTTATCAATATCGAAAAATAAGAGACACAGGGATGCCAATCCCAAGGTCGAAAGGTCGAAGGTCAGTGTTTCCCACCGGATACTACAATAAAAAATGGTCGCTATGAAATAAAAGAGTGCAGTAAGTGGCGTTAAATACCAACAATCAATAAATCAATTCATATTCAATGAATGCAAAGAAACTTAAAATTTTGTATCAGGTGATAATTTACAGACGTACATGTCAATCTTTTCGAGAAGATTGACACTATACGTAGTTGTAATGGTTCATGGATACAGGCGACGATCTACGATTTGATGTTAATGGGTGTGGGCACTCGTGCGAATTAGGAGTTAGAGGACCATATTTTGACTTTAAAAAACATTTTTTTCAGTTTTAATAGGGGAGGCGCCTTGTTCGTTCAGACTAAATACGCGTCTGCCATTAACGTCAAATTGTGTGATTACATCATATTTTAGTTCTTTCTCAGTAACACGTTAATAGTATCGGGTCCAGCGAATGATAGTTAATATTACATATTTATCTTGAAATTTTCAACGGAATATTGCAGGTATGAATTTAAGGTGATATGTCGTGTACGTCAATCAGACATAACCCAAAGAAAAATGTCTTTTCATCGGTCCTTGTTGGAAAACGTTGTGAATGAATCTAAACTGAAACAAAAAATATAGATGAGCACGGTGAATTCTGATAATTTGTTCTGCAGCGACTCTAAATGGGGATATTATTTATTCATTAGTTATTCAAAATTCAAATGCCTTTCAACATGTCGTTGTGTTATCGTTGTGTTATCTTTAAGGTCGACACTATGCTCTTGTCAAAACTAAAACAAAAAAAAAACAATAGACAATATTATGCATGGATGTCAAGAGAGCAATAAAGACCTATTTGAAAGTCTACTTCATTCGCGTCATATAGGCAATACATCAAATATGCTCGTTCAGGTAGTTCCTCAAGACTTGAGATAGACAATTGCTTTCCAGCTTCGGAGGAAATATCATTTCATACTAGTAACAAGGCAAATATAAATACAGGTGACGTAACAACATCACTAGCAACTAGCAATAACTATCTTGCAGTTAAAGGGCAGCATATAGATTTAGTGATGTAACAACATCACTAGCAACTAGCTATAACTATCTTGCAGTAAATGGGCAGCATATTGATTTAATATTAATTTTTTTCCACCTTTCATTTTAAAAAAGCCTTTGCTGTAATGATGAATTCACAGGTTCTACAGAAGGCATGAGGAATTGGTAATCTCCCACTTTATGTAGATAAAATAGATGTAACGATAAACAAATTTGTTCATCTTACATTTTGAAGTTTCGTCAAAAGTAAAATAACAAAAATAACGAACTCCAAGGAAATTTTAAAACGGAAAGTCCCTTATCAAATTGCAAAATCAAAAGCTCAAACACATTAAATGAATGGAAAACAACTGTCATATTCTTGACTTGGTACAAGCATTTAATTGTGTAGAAAATGGTGGATAAATGACCATAGCATAACAACACAATGGCGAATGTAGTACCGAGCCACGCCAAAAGAATGTTACCAAAAATTGACTAAAAAGTAACGGTTAATAATATACAAAGACAAATAAAAGAACACTATAACACGTAATTACGATGATAAACAACAGCAGTACCTAGAATCTTTAATCTAAGACCATCATGTATTATTTGTGAAGTTTATACGGAATATTTATCAACAAGGTCTTGGTATCTTCAGATGATCTTTTGTTTAGAAAAAAGACGAGACGTTCTTTGACAAGTGCTTGTTTTTGACAAGAATAAATCAATAATTTAACAATTACTGTTCCATTTTTAGTCAGCAAGTATTGTTAAATCGCGTCTTACTTGAATAAATATAAGTGGAATACACAGGTAAATCTGCCCCAATAATTTAACTGGTTTGTATATTACCAACAAACACATTATTTTGTTTTACAATAGAAGATATTTGTCATAATGTCATAGATTCAGTTTAACTAAAATCAATATTTTTACCAGGAATAGTAACAGTGCTTTAATGTTTATACTTTGGATCTTTTTGAAAGAAATATATAGATCATCACGCTTTCTGATATAGAAGACGTACTACTGTAAGTACAAATTTATTTTCCAATTATTGAATGAAAAGTGTAATCTACATATTAGTAAAAATTCGATAATTCAATAAGGAACAAGGGGTACTGTTAATACTGACAATATAAAAATAGAAACGTAGAAAGTAAATCAAAACGTCAAAGATTAGCGTTTTCAGTATTGCATCTGTTTCTCTAAAAAGATGAGACATTGAAACGTTGCTGTGAAAAAACTGGTATCAATACATGAAAATATATTAGGATAAAAGGAGTTATAAATAAATATTGAATAGTACAACAGACAAAAAAAACAACAATCAACCCCGGCACCTCAGAGAAAACATATGTCAAACAAGACATGCAAGACAAACAAAGACACGGAATACAAGTATAACATTTTATGGAGTAAAGTTTTATATGGGAATAAACATTCCCCCTTGCCCATCAAGACAATACGTTCAAAAGTATACTATTGACGTTGACAAACACCGTTTTAGAAATCAACAAAAAGTGCCATTTGTAAAATGATATGGGGGAAGCAAAACAAGTGCTGAAATTATGAAACTATGTTTGAATACTTTGATGCTTACTAAGACTGAAAACTATTTTTGTTCCATTAAACCAGTTGACGATTTATATGACAACTTGTAAAGTCTACCACCGATGCTGGTGGAATATAAGACCCGAGCTTGTCATCAGCTCAGTACCCAGTACTTCGGTACTGAGATGATTCATAACAAATCTCTTTAATATTGTCCCACATAAATTATAGATTATTAGGAAATTAAGGTTTCAACTCCACCAAGCAAAGTTTTGTTATCCTTTTATATCTTTTTGGTCATATAGCTGTTCAACTGTTTTGGTTTTTATATAGCTTTGACTTTCAAATGTGACTTCAAGTGTTCCTGATGAATGCAAATCCAGAAAAGCGCTTCGGACGCATGAAATTTATAAAGTGTTATGTTAAGTTAACAGTACTGGATCGATACCGCTACTGGTGGACTATAAGTCTCTATTGTGAAGGAAACGAAAGTTGTAAGTTGTATAATGTATTACGTTAGCCACATTGTGGTACCGAGTAAAAACGTCATGATAAAATGACGTTACACTATAAGTTCCCGAACGATTCCTCAACGTCCGCAAAACTCGTTAAAAAGTTTGTATATTTCTCAACAGTCCCAGATGGAATCATCAGCTCAGTAGTTAGTATTTAGGTACTGACATGATCATAACAAACCTTTGATAAATTGTCCGTTTCTAAATTTATAAATTGATAAGAAACTCAGTTTTTATTCAACTCCACAAGGCAAAGTTTCCCTTAGATGGATTTTGCTGTTATATTGAGGTCCTTTTGGTCAAAAAGCTCTTCAACAGTTTCGATTTTTTATACGTCTTTGGCTTTTAAATGTACGGCATTGAGAGTTCCTGAAGAAAAGCACTACACATGCATGACATTTATATAGTGTTGATTTCATTTTTACAAATGCATTTATCATTTTTTTCAAATTATTCATGCAACACATATATGTAAACAATAAACCAACGAAAAAAAAAATCAATTACAACGATGCAACAAACATACCTTGAGACACTGTGACAATAACCGGACAAATATGTTTGAATGATAATTACTGCAACCTACAGCTCACAACGGTGAATCAAACGCCGTTATAATACAACAAAAAACAAAACAGAACACACCCCCACCCCCAATTTCTTTATAAAGAATACAATGAATTAATCCAACAAAAATACAGAAACAGTGTAAATGATGATTGACATTTATTGTGTTTCATACAACTTAAAAAGAAATTGGAACTTCCTGTTTATTTGTTTACCTAGTCTTAATTGTGATTCCTTAGTTTAATGTGAACTCAATTTCAATACGAATGATTATAACACCTTATTTAATTACTTTGAATAGTAAACTGATATTTGTTCATGTATTTAGTAAAATGCAAACAACAACTTACAACACTGAGCAAACCGCTGTGATTATAAAACCAACAGGAAATCCAGCGCGTCAACAAATTTTCCATGTGAAGACATTTAAGATATTGGGAGGTGTGCAGATTGGACTCGGCTTAATATTAGTAATCCTGAGTTTTGTTGAATTGATAGCGATTTCATCCCTTCTTTTCTGGACGATACCAATATTGCTATGCTCTGTATGGGTAAGTGTGTTATGTTTTGTCAGAGAATTGAAATTTTATGAATATTTAGTGCTTTATATTACCTTTGATATTGTTTAAAGTACAAATTCTATGTGTTCGATTATAATGATTATGTAATTTTTTGATATCTTTGCTACCTCAGCAAAGGTTAACATTCTCAAATCTTATAAAAGTTTGTCATCTTTCATTGGTGTAATTAAGTGTGAATTACTCTTCAACCTTAATACTTCCGGATTTCCTACGTTTGGTTTCCTATGTACATACAATAACATAAACGGTACCAATTTTTCTGCACCAGATGTGCATTTCGACAATCAATGTCTCTTCAGTAATGCTCGGGGCAAAAATTTTTGAAAATCCAAAGCTTATTAAAACATGAAGAGCTATAACCCAATCAGGACAAAAAAGTATAGCCACAGCTGAACAAGGAATCAGAGCTTTGCATGATGGAGATACATTCCTTAATTTTAAATAATTTCCAAAATTTTGTAACAGCAAATTTTGATAACACAAAATTAAGATATTACCTGATATGATCCTGGAAAATTCCAGCAAAAACCATTTGTTTAATTTTAGTATATCATCCCTATGCCCAGGCGTTTCGTTGCGTGCCTTGGTGTTCTTTTTGAGATTTTTAAGTTGAGTGTTCATTTTCAAATTACCATGATTATGTTTAATGTAAGACTTAACTTAAACAACGTATAACCAAGTTTACAAAAATAATAAGAATTACTCGAACGATTTCTGTTGAAAACGTCAAATGAAAATCGGAAAAATTAACGTTACCGATTTTGTTATGCGGTTTTTGCATTTTTTTTTTTTAATAAAGCCAATCATCAATGTACACCTAAGTAAAGGAAACATTTGATTGTTCGACTCTTTACACTACATGCCCACAAACTAGTATCAAACAACAGTTTTTTTTTATTTAATTAACAATGAAAACTTCGTAAAAGTTAGTTTTCACACGTCTGAAGCGCTTTTAGTCAGGAACGATGAAAGCCGAATATTTGAAAGCAAAGGATTTAAAAGAACCAAATCAGTTGAAGAAATACATGACCCAAAAAGGACATAAAAATAACAAAATCCTTTTAAGGTCAACTTGAAATCTTATTTTCTGAATTTCAAAATTTATGAATGGTCAATTTGTTTTCCATTAGTTTGGTGTGATCAAACTTTTGATTTTGCCATTTGATTAAGACTTTTTGTAATGAATAATCCTTGGAGTTCGGTTTTTTTTTTTATTTTACTTTTTGCAAAGTTACTTCCAGTAACTGTATAAAGCCATCTACTGTTATAAAAAAGATAAATAGGCTAGATTTACCGACTTGAAGTGTGATGAGACAAACGAAGTTCTAACTTTTTCTACGGGACAACATCTATTTGCGTTATGGCAATAAAGTTTATCGACAGGTTATTGGTATTTCTATGGGAACCAATTGCGCCCCTTCAATTGCATATTTGTTCCAGTGTTGTTAGGAATCACAGCTGTGTCCTATCTCAATAAGAAACTGTCTTAATTCCATTTCATTGATAAATTTAATATAACTAAGCCAAAAATAATTTTAATCTGTTAAAAAATCAAGAACTGTCTAAATATACTGCCGAAGTTTACTTGTATATTCAATCAATAAAAACAGCAATAAGTGACCTTTTCTAGATTTAAATATTTCAATGTCGCACGGGAAACTCTACAAAAAAATTTACGACAATAGGACGATAGACGATTTTTTCCCAGTACAAATTTTCTTTTTTTGGACGATGTTCCTTTGGCCTCATCTTACTGTGTTTTATCTCCTAACTCGGTCGCTATGCATGTGTCTGCAGTAGCGTTGTGAATCTCAATGAACGTAATCTATGTATTACTGATGAATCATAAGTCAGGGATTTCGTTTTCACAAATCACTTTAAACCCTTAACAAATACTTTCATAGTTAAAAGTTTTGCTGTACCTGTAGAAAACTAATTACAAACGTGATATTACATCCTAAATTGCGTTGATGTTATTAATCGATTTTGAAAATTTAGACATGATCCGTGAAAACTTATTGATCCTTCAAATAAACCTATTATAAAAGGTAACCAATTTAATTCCTTAGTAAGATCTCTGAAATATTTATTATCGGTATAAATATTGATTTTGAAATTAAAACACAATTAAATATTATTGCTATGCATCTATAACAATCATGTTTGTAATATATAGATGTTTTTATTTTGGCATTACACAAGATAATGTTTTCCTATAACTGTTTATGACGTTTTTACGCAGGATCCATTGGATGTGTACTGCTTAATGTTTTAGTTTTAGATACATGCTTTTTTTATTTGTTTATATTGGCTTTGAACTAGCTTTTAGTAAGTACTCTCATGTCTGTACTTTGTGGGTTTAATGTTCTTGTCAGTTGTTTGTTTTGCTTTGTATCAATATGACAAGTAAAGCCCTTTTCAACTGATTGACTTTGAAAATTTATTCTTATGTTGTGCTGTTATACCACTGTCCAAGGTTAGGGAAGCGTTGTGCGTCTGCAAACATGATCAACCAGGTATATTCTGTATTGGCTGTAATTCACAGGTTGTCGTTTTTATTATACATCATATTTGTTCTTTGTTTATTGTTTTGTACATGTTTTGTCATATTGGCAATCAAGACATCTCCTTATTTCATATTAATCAATAAGCAACATCACATTATAAAAACTTATGATGGAACAACACGAATCTGTCAAAAACTGGAAATAAATTAATGGTATGTTATAACGTACAAAAGACATGACGTTGTTACTAAATTCTATGATTATATCATCGTTTTAAAGCAGTGCACGTATGCTAAATATGTACTCTTTTCGGTAATTATGCGATCACACATGTGTGTACAGCATTTTCTACTCCAGGAATAAATTATCCTAGCTTTGCAAAACCTTTCATAATTTTGGGTCCTCAATGCTCTTCATCTTTGAACTCTATTTTGCCTTTTTAGTTGTTCTTATTAGAGCGTCACTGATGAGTTTCAATCCTGGTATCTATGATGAGTTGGGAATTGTTGGTTGTCAATACTCTTCAACTTTGTACTTTATTTGGCCTTTTTAACTTTTTTTTATTCGAGTGTCACTGATGATTCTTTTCTAAACGAAACGCGTGTCTGGCGCAAATACAAAATTTCAATCCTGGTATCTATGATAAGTTTATTGTAGACGAAACGCGCGTCTGGCATACAAAAATGATAATCCTGGTATCTAGGATGAGTTCATGTACATATAGTCGAAACCTTTTTCAATATAATTATAGTTTGTTGTGACTGGATGCCTACCAATGCGCATGTCAAAGAATACAGAATCAAGCTTAAAATGCCAGGTAGAGATCACTAAATGAATCTTAAAAAAAAAGAAAAAAAAAACGTGTGAAAAATAATCCTTGAACAGACAGTTCATTACGCAGTCCATGTAACAAGAAACGAAAAGAAAAGATAGCATTTTGAGGAAATGAACACATCTTAAATGCACTTGAAAAAAGACTGCAACATATCTTCTTGTACGTCATTCCACCTCAAGTGGAGAGATGTCTCATTGGCAACCATACAACGTCCCTCAGTTTTATATTCTGTTGTTAAAATTCCTCATTTCTAACTTGAAATTTTCCTTTTCAAAGTAACACTTCCCACTACCAAGTTTTGACTGAAAATGTCAAGTTGGATCTGAGAAACGACAAGTTTGAGCTGCGAAAAGTCGGCTTTGTAGTATGAAATGTCAAAATGAAAGTAAGGAAAAAGTAAAATAACAAAAAATAACGAACTCCTAGGAAAATTCGAAAGGGAAAGTCCCTTATCAAATGGCAAAATCAAAAGTTCAGACAGATCAAACGAATGGAAAACAACTGTCATATTTCTGAATTAGTACAGGCATTTCCTTATGTAGAAAATTGGTAGATTAAACCTGGTTTTATAGCTAGCAACACCTCTCACCTGTATGGAAGTTGCTTAGAATTTCATTATATTGACAACAATGTGTGATTAAAACAAACAGACATAATAGGTAAAAATGTCAAAAATTGGGGAACAACAGTCAACATTGTGTTATAACTTAATCACTATAAAAACAAATCACTGTGTCATCAAAGAAAAAAAAATGGAACATAATATTTGAACAGACTGTTCACAAAACAGTCCACGTAACAAGAAATGATTGGAAAAGAAAGCCGTTATGAGGAAATGAACACATCTTTAATGCACTTGATGAAAATAGACTGCAACATATCTACTGTCAGTATCTTCTTACTACGAAAAAACATATACGGACCTTCTATAGCTTACTAAGCGATATAGGTTTATCTCATTGTTAAAGGATATTATCGAACAGCGATATCTTTTTAATGCGCAATAGACAAATATGTGTCAGCTACATTGTACTTACGATTACTTACTTTTTTTAATCTTTCAATAGAATTATCTTTCTAAAAAGGAAAGAATAGGTATATGAAAAAAATAAGGAAATGTCAAACAAAAATCCTATATCGAATAGCTATCATCATGACCGAAGACAAAACAACTATAGACAACGTTAATTTACGGACAACAAAACAGTACACACAAATATATTGATCTGCACGAATTCTATTAAAACTGGAGTAAAAATTACATTTTATCTTTTCATATTCATTTCTTAAATGACGTTTGTTTCTTACTTCAGAAAATATGGTTCATGGTGTGCAGTATAATTGGAGCAGCAGTTTTTTTCCCGGTTATGTTTAATTTATCATTTTTTGTAGGACTTTCTGTAAGTAGAAATGTGATTAAGGGAAATTCTTTATTATAGTTTTATTACTCAAAACTGTAGTTTTAAAAACATTTTCTAAATTTTTTACAAAAAACATAAGCGGACGTTTGCAATACACAACTATGGTCATTTATTATAAATATTTATTACTTAAACAATTTAGAAGAAAATGTTCAGTAAATGAATATATAGCAGTATCATGGCATTTAATAAAAAACAAATACGGTACTTTTTGTTTTGTAGTACTGGCAATCACATTTAATGGAACAAATTAGTGTCGGTATGATTGAGAAAAAAATACGGTAACCGTTTCATTTCGAGTTATTTTTCAAGTTAAACAAATATTTGTTTCCTTCGACTTATCTGATATTAAATAAAAACAGTACCTATGTGTTCGTAGAAAGAGTTAACAGCTTTTAAGCAAAGACATTTTACGATAGTTTTGCAGAAGGTACGTATTTTGATATCTATACTCCAACGCCCCTTAAAACCAGGCAATTTTTCACGCTAATTTCTACTCACAGTTATCAATCCAAGTGTCAATGGACGACACTTCTTATTGCCGAGATCGGACATTTTACGTTTCCTTGTGAGTATGCGTTTTTCCTTGGATATCTGGACATGTATCTCTTCCGTTTCAATTTTTCAAAAAATGAAAGCAAGCTTCTGTGTTGATAATCAACATGGTTTTCAATTATCATGTTTATTTTAGGATCAAGATAATTATCGAAACGACTGGTATATTGTATCTTTTTCAATAACCGCATTATCCGTTGCTGAAGCATTAGTTGCAGTCATTTCAGCTTCTTATTGTTGCTGCTGTTCGCCTTGGGAAACATCAAGTCAAGCAGGTAAATATGTACTTATGATGTAACATGATAACTTTATTTAATTGTTTATATCCACTCGGCAAATATATGGAAATGTATAATTTTCTATTGCTAAATCAACATATAAAATGCATAAGCAATGGTCATGACCGATAGGAAGTGAAAAAAATGAAGTAAGAATCATAGCGTTAGGTATAATATGAAAATCCTGGTTTCGTGTCAGGTATGTTAACACAAAAGTACTACACACAATTTAATATTATTTGTAACCATGTTGGCCTTAAAATTGTATTAAGATTTTTGTATCCCCTTTCAGATAAAGATATACGTGTGCAGATTCCTCCACAATTATATTTTAAAGCATTTTGCTGATATTATTGCTGAACAAATTATTCATTTTATACATTATATATTATATGCAGCTTTTCTCATTCCTTAATATGGTAGAAATCCGTTTACATTGTTATTGTATCAGTTGTATCTGTTTTTGTTACTTATAACTATAACTATATTCAGATTTATTTAAAACAAATCGTATTGCAAAAACGCATGCATGACAAGCACATGCACTGTAAAATAAATGGCACATCGGTACTTGCGAAAAAAGTAAGATAGCAACAATACCGAACTCCAAGGAAAATTCAAAACGGAAAATCCTTCATAAAGCTCAAACACATCAAACAAATGGAAAATAACTGTCAAGTATTCCTGACTTTGAACATATATTTCCTCATGTAGAAAATGGTGCATTAAACCTGGTTTATAGCTAGCTAGACCTCGCACTTGTATTACATGACAGTCGCATAGAGTTCCATTATATTGACAACAATGTGTGAGCAAAACAAACAGATATATAAGATAAAAATGTCAAAAAGAGGGGTACAGCAGTCAACAATGCGTCATAATATTTATCACTATAAAAACAAATAACTATTTCAACAAAGAAAAACAAAATGGCATATAGGCACGCTATAGAAAAAGTGCATTAGTTAAAATGAAAGCTAGCTTTCTGGATTTCGAATGTTTCTCTCCAGCCATATCGATTATATGAACATTTACATACGTATGTAATCTTTATTTAAATTTTCAACAGATGTTTGTTTTAAGAGTCAAACACAGCTTGGAATGAATCCAAATGCAGCTGGAAATCATATTCAGGATACAAATATTCGCCCATGGACTGTTTCCTATAGCTCAGCAGTATAACTTTGCTATTCGTATATTCAGTTGCATTTGATAACTTTGTTTGCAACTATGGCGTCATTGAAATAAGTTCAGCTGAAATGTCATTTTTTTAATTAGGTCTTTCCACTTTTCTGTGATTTTCTTTTTTGATTATTATTTTTTTTTCGTCTTCCGCCACTTTTCTCTTGTGTATAATTTTTGTTTCGCAGGCTGTCGCTTAGATGTTTGGTATATGATATCGCACAGTTTATAAGCATCTGAAATTGACCCTGCTTAACCGAATACTTTTCCGAACACTGTTTTTCTTGTGAGTGCATCTTATCAGTAACTGTCAAAGAAATCGGCAAATTTATTTTACCAAATTGCTCGTTATATCCTTAAGATGTTTTGTCCAATTTTGAAAAAAAAAATTAAAACTAAGATCTTAATTGCCACAAAATTAAAATTTTCCATCTTTTGACAATAGAATAAAACTATAATATTAAGTTATATTGATTAGTTTTATGTCTCTTTATCAATTGATCTCAGGTTAACTGATAATAGTGTTTTATTATGTAATTTCTTATGTTTAAATGTAAACGATATACATATTAAGTCGCAATTAAAATGAAGTTATTATGCAGATTAAGTGATTCATCGACATTGACCTCTACTCAGCTATTTTATCCACTGCTTGTCTTTCTAAAAATCTGGCAGTAATGTAACAAACACTTATGCATTAGTGCTTTAACAACGTGTTCCTGTCCACAATCATTGCAATGGAAAAGTAAAATATGATTGAACTTATACTAACAATTACTTTAATCTTTCCACCAGTGATTTCCGATCAGTTTGATTTTTTAAGAATCTAAATTTCGGCACTATTATTGGTGTTTTATTGGCATTGGAAAAAGAACATTACTACTGGAGAACATTTTGGAAATTGTCTCTAACCCAGTACTTCCATGAACCTCAAAGTGACCTCCTAACAGTATTTCAGACGTTGTGAATTCTCCTGCAATACTGTCCGGAAATAAGGCAACATTCGATTCATCTGTCAAATACAATGTTCATGCAGAAACCTTATAAAGCAATGAACCTGTTCTTAAGAGAAGTTGTTATTTTCTTTTGGAGTTCGGTATTGTTGCTATCTTACTTTTTTCGCAAGTACCGATGTGCCATTTATTTTACAGTGCATGTGCTTGTCATGCATGCGTTTTTGCAATACGATTTGTTTTATCTGCCTAATCGAAAGGAGTGAGTATAATAGTTCATCGATGAAGATCTTTCAGCAACTTTCACAATAAAGACCAGCAATAAAAGTACTGTTCATGTGATAAATTTGTTATTTTCTTGCATTTCATGACGTTTTTGTTTATAACGTACACACCGACCTCATAACCTTTCTTTTCTATGAAAACAAATTAACTCAGACACAGTGAGAAGATAGATATAAGAAGATGTGGTATGAGTGCCATTAAGACAACTCTCCATCTAAGTAAAAATTTATAAAAGTAAACCATTATAGGTCAAAGTACGGTCTTCAACACGGAGCCTTGGCTCACACAGAACAGCAAGCTATAAAGGGCCCTAAAAATTACTAGTGTAAAACTATTCAAACGGGAAAACCAACGGTCTAATCTATATAAAAAACGAGAAATGATAAACACTAATGAACCATCAACAAACGACAACTACTGAACATCAGATTCCTGACTTAGGACAGGTGCAAATAATTGCAGCAGGTTTAAACGTTTTAATGGTACAAAACCTCCACCCTTATCTGAAACAATAGTGTAACATGTAATACCGCTGGGAAATGTTGAACAATTTAAGAAAAACAATATGCTTGAACAAAAATATCAGCCATTTGCAATTACTTATAACACAGGTAAATGAAAATAATTTTGTTGTTAGGTATATGTGTACAGTTCAAATAGAGAAAGGAAATATTTTTACAAAATAAATAATTTTGATGTTCATAGTACGAAGAAGTGAAAATTTATAGTAATACCAAATACGTATTAAAGCTGGTATATAGACCAGATATAACCCTGAATAACATTAAATACCAAAAAGGCATAACAATTAGTACTAACAGGTCAAATAAACAAGAAAGTACTATTTGAGAGTGCTTGCAGTTACTGACAGCTAGTTAAAAGCCAAAAACAATAAATAATAAAAAATCATGCATCGGAGACTAAAATCAACTAAAACACATCCCAGGGATTTAGTATTTCAACGTCATAGACATTCAAAGAAGACATGACTTGTGCAACGCCAAAAATAAATGTATCGACAGGCAGTAGGATAGTTAACCTCTTTATAAATCAAAATGAACATGGGTGTATCTTTATACATTCCGTTTGAAAAGAATAAAAATTTAGTTATGTTTTAATTTGATGATGACAAAATCGATATTAGTACCAATGTAAGCTATATTTAAAGATCTAATTACAACATTGGTAAGATAACCTTTACTAATAAGTTTGTTTATAGGTTCGATGAGTTTACACGGATCACATAGTGATTTCCGCGCTTTAAGTACAATATGTCCGTATAATTAAGGATGTGAAATACCGTTTTTAATCAGTTTTCTACAGGTACAGAAAATTTACTAATCAAATCTTTATATCTTTGAAAGAATTTAGTAAAAGTTTTACGTAATTTATGGTAACGAAATCCCTGACTTAATAATTTACCAGTGATGCATTGATTACGTTCATTAAAATCTATGATATCACTACACACACGGGCATAACGAACGAGTTGGGATATATAAACACCGTATGATGGAGCCAAAGGAACTTCGCCGTCTAAAAAAGGAAAATTAACAATAGGGAATGAAAAGTCGTCTCTTTTGTCTTAAACTCTAATATGGAGTTTTCCTTTAGAGATTCAAATGTCCAAATCTAGAAAAGGACAACTGCTGCTGTTTATGTTATATTTAGTTAAAGTAAGTTCTTTTTGGTAAATTTCAGTAGTATATTTAGAGAACTCTGGATTATTCAACGATAAATTATCATCTAGATAACGGAAGGTATTGTTGAATGTATCAACCAAATGTAACAATGACGTGTCTTTACTGAGTTTGGTCATAAACTGAGATTCATAGCAATGCAGGAATAAATCTGCTATTAAAGGGGCGCAGTATTTGCCCATAGGAATACCTACTACTTGTCGATACACCTTATCGCCGAAACGTACATATATATGTTGTCCAGGAGAAAATTTAAAGCTTCAATCATATCTTCACATTTCCAGTAATCGTACCTAGCATACTTTTCTATTTCGTTACGGAAAAAGGCATTGCACTAGTCATGTCTTCTTTGACTGTCCATGTAATTTTTTGGGGCCCTTTATACCTTACTGTTCGGTGTGAGCCAAGGCTCTGTGTTGAAGACCGTACTGTGACCTATAATGGTTTACTTTTATAAATTTTGACTTGGATGGAGAGTTGTCTCATTGGCAATCATACCACATCTTCTTATATCTAGTTAAACGAGTTACATCAAATAAATTTGTAATGAGATTTTTCAAAAGACCATTTAATTAAGTATGAAAACTTTTTCTTGATAAGATGGTGTGGAAGTGTAGTATAGAGAATAGAAAAATAAAATATGTCAACAGAATTAAAAGGACCATCAAAAGCATGTATTTTATCTAAAACCTCTAAAGAATTTTTAACACTCCAAAATAAATAATACCATTATTTTCATAAGCTTTATTACAAAAGTTTATAAAAAGTTCTTTGATAGTGTTAAGGGAGGTAGTTCGAAGCACTGATAGATTGGTAGAAAGTAAAATCACAAAAATACTGAACTCCTAGGATAATTCAAAAAGGAAAGTCCCAAATCAAATGGCAAAATAAAAAAAAAAACAAACACATCAAACGAATGGATAACAACTGTCATATTCCTGACTTGGTACAGGCATTTTCATATGTAGAAAAATGGTGGATTGAACCTGGTTTTATAGCTAGCTAAACCTCTCACTTGTATGACAGTCGCATCAAATTGCATTATTTTGACAACGATGCGTGAACAAAACAAACAGACACAATAGGTAAAAATGTCAAAACTAGGGGTGCAGCAGTCAACATTGTGTTATCATCTTAATCACTATAAATACAAACAAATGTAACGAAGAAGCACAAAAAGGCATACATCAAATCTAACATCCTCATTTTGCTTATATTATACGATTTTATTTATCTATGTAAAATCCACCCATAAAGGATGGAAGGTTTTAAGTACTGGCGTAAAAACGCGCGTTTGAAATTCGCACAGGTAGACATAAAGTAATTTTGTTGTTCAAAGTATGACAGGATACATCAATACAGAGTCACGTAAAATGGATATAAAAAAAAAGACTTAACAGTAAAAGTAATAATAATAAATGAAATAGAATAATTGTGTGGTACAAAGTATGACGATATACACAAGTACAGAGTCACGTCAAATGAATATCACAAAAAAACAGACTCAACAGTAAAAGTAATATTAATAAATAAAATAATTTTGTCGTTCAAAGTATGACGGATACATAAGCACAGAGTCACGTCAAATAGATATCTAAAAAAAAACAGACTTAACAGTAAAAGTAATAATAATGAAGATAAATAAAAGAATACTATAACACGTTATTAAGATGATAAACAACGTCAGTACGCAAAATCTATACTTCAAGACCATCGTGTATTATTTGTGAAGTTGATACGGAATATTTATCAACAAGTTCTTGGTACCTTCCGATGAACTTTTTTAGAAAAAGGACAAGACGTTCTTTAACATACCCCTGGTTCATCATTTTTCTGCTCAGACACTGGTGACGTTTTACAAAGTCTGAGTAGGAGCTGCAAGCTCTTGAATACCGAATAAGTTGGGAAATGTATATCCCATATGCAGGTGAAGTTGGTATATTGCTATTTAGGTGGGGGAAATTGATAATTTCAAAATTAAAATTGTCTCGTTTGTCATAGATTCTGGTACTGAGATGACTGTGTATGTCAAATTCGAGATATAAGTCTAAAAATGAGGCGGAGGAAGCCGTGTCTGTTGTTTCTTTAATTTCTAGTTCTGGTGGATATATTAATGGAACCCAATCAGAAAAGTTCTGATTGTTAATGGAAAGAACATCATCAATTTATCTGAAAGTGAAATTAAATAACCTGGCTTCTTTGATCTTCTTGTTTTTGACAAGTGTCTGAAGGAACTCCGATTCATATGAAAATAAGAAGAGGTCGGCAAGGAGAGGCGCACAGTTCGTTCTCATAGGAATGCCGACAATTTATTGAAAAAGTCTACCTCCAAATTCAACAAATATGTTGTCAATAAGAAACTCCTGCATACTGATCACTTGTTCCATCTGTGTAGCATGTTTTACCCTTTTGTTCACTATTAACAAAATATGCCTTATGGTATCCCAAAGTAATAAATTTATAGCGTATGCTACCATTTTTATGATGAAAAGCATTGTGGATTATTTCTTTTAGACGGGTTTTCAATTTCACATGGGGTATGGTGGTATACAAGGTTGAAAAATCAAAAGTTTTGATAGAACTAATTTCAGAAAAAGACCGAGATTTAAAATTATCCAGAAGTTCTTTAGAGTTTTTAAGAATCCACATATGGTTAATACCACTACGCGAGTAAACAGTTTCACAGTATTTCTGAAGACCCTCTTTCACTACGGACAGAATTTTAATCAATCTAATGGACAATTCTTTAATGGAACGTGCAGATGAGCCGGCAGTGTACCGTTGTTTGTACAGAATTTTGTGAAGTTTTGGTATCCAATAAAAACAAGGTAAGTCCTCCGCTTTGTTGTTCAATGCAATGTTCATTGTAGCCATGAAGGACTTATGATTCGCCAAAATCTCATCCTTGTAAAATGATATGTTTTTGTATATGGGATTACCTGAGTGCTCATTTATTCCTTATTTCTTTTACAAGACACTCTTAGTAACACGATTTACATATAAAGACAATATTATTTGAAGCCTTGTCCGCAGGAACAACAACATACTTATGTTGAAGAGATAATAGACATTTCACAGCCTCTTTGTCTCTGAAAACGGATTTTGGTCGATTATTCACACAGTTTTTCAATTTATGAATACGACGTTTTATCAGAGACCTGATTGTTTTGACCCATTCTGACAAAGTGTCTAGTTGAACTTTTTCTCGTTTAGCCCATGCTCTGGCGTAGTCCTCAATGAAATCCATAATTATTTTGAAGTTATGGTTCCAATTGATGTGTTGGGTTCTTTCGGAGATTTTAATTGTGATTTATGTTTAGATCCCCAGTAATAACATGGCCAGAGGGGCTGTAATTGTAAG